TTTTGTTTGGATATATATATAAATTGTTCGAGTTTCTTCATCTAAAAAAAAGCGACATTAATTTCTTGACGACCTAATATTTGTAATTGACAACTGAACTGAGCCTCTAGTGTATTGAATAAAGAGATAGGACAAGTTTGCAAAAAAAACAAAAAAACAATCTTTATTATACTAAATGCAAAAGAAAAAGCAGGGTACGTACTTGCGCAGACAGGATCATAGTTTATTCACTCTTGGGACTGATCTCCACAGAGATAAAACACAATGATCTCAAAATAAAGTCGTCATTTCGAGATCCCCCAATAGAAATGAACCGAGAAACAATGCTTGAATTTAATAGGTATACTGTTTCTTTATCACTTTGTGATCCTTATTCTCTCATAGCATTCGCTGTACGTAACATACAGACATCATCCATTTATTCAGCAAAGAATATTACAGTCGGTGACCATTTCAACAGTGAGGTTACTCCAATATCCCCTAGAGCAGAATAGATATAATCTGCTATAGCATAATGTTTTGGGACAACAAGGGACCTATTGGTTTATCTAGGCTGTCCCAACCTCTAACCAAACTGAAACTATTAAATAAATATATATATATTATATATTATCATAAAGCCAGCCCTTATCATTCATATAGTTATCAAGCTTTCTCTTAAACTTACTTAAATTTATTCCACAGAACAAATAAACTAAAACAAAGCAACTTCAAGTTTTCAACGGTTTTCTGGTGTACGTATTAATGTTAAAGCTGCATGAAAAACTAGATAAACGATTTATTTAATCCTATATAACTATAAGAAGGTAGAAAACATTATATTCCTGCATATTACACAGATATATAATTCCAAGCTTAGCCCACGTCCTTTTTTTCATGCATCATATTGAATTAAAGTGTATTATTTCTGCTGGAAATGTGGTTTTGACTTTCGATTGTTACATCTGTTTATTCAAGAAATTTAGTACGCTGAGAGAGTTAGGGAAGAGATTCGATGAGGAGGAACCCACTTTGAGACTAATAATACTTGGAGACGGCTTGAATGGGTAATGAAGAAAAACTTTAATATGTGTTAATCTTATATCAAAGTTTTTTCTTCATTACCAGTTCAAGCCGTCTCCTAGCATTATAATGGGGGGAGATATATTTTCTGCAAGTATGTTTTGTTTGTTTATTGTTGTTGTTTTTTCAATATAAATACTGTTGAAATTAATTATTACTTTTTACGGTATCTTGAAACTATACGAATAACTTTTTAAATTTTCAAAAATTACGTTAAGTATTTCATAATTAAAATCCGTTTATTTTCTTAATCTTAATACATTATTATATAATGAAAATGTATCATTGTAGAAATAAAATTTAGAGAGCGCTTGTGAACGTTCGGTACCAGAGTCAATGCTTAAGCCTATTCGCCAATTTCGGCTGTACTTTGTACAGGATGGCCTCTAACGTTGCTAGGTCGTGGAAAGTATGTTATAACTAGTTAAAGCGTACTTTCATTAGCATGTTACACATTTTTCGATTAAAATGCTAGGAAAACTATAATTTGTAGTAGTATTTATTGAAAATATTAGTTATAATCATTAATAATAATAGTCATTTTGTACTTTTATTCTTTAGTCTCCTCGAATTCATGTTATTCACTTATTGTTACTGTTATCTAAGTTATAATTATTTTTCGCTACTCTTTGATTTGCATTCTTCTAGTTCTAGCAGAACCAAGTACATCTGTTTTTACATCTCATAACAACTCCAATAATTTAAACCAAATACCATCGGCATTTGTTAACCATTCTCAGTACTCGTTTTTTGTTTTGTTTTTCAAAATATTCTGTCCAATGATGTGAATAGCAAAACATAGAACATTTTAAAACAGTATTCTAAACAGAGGCTAACCAGTATGCTAATTGTTATATAAACTATATATATATATAATGGTGGTAATCTTAACACACTAAAGTTAAAATCTAATTTTGTACATACGAGTCACAGAGCCTGGATCCTAGATGGTTCAGCATTAATTAAATGAGTAAGGCTGAGGGTTTATAACATTAAAATTAAGGTTTCAATACCTGTGGTGGGTAGAACACAGATAGACCATTTTAAAGCTTTGTGTTAAATGACAAACAGTCTGGTTAGTTCTGGTAGTACTAGTAGTCAGCATTGGTAAATGCTTCAAAGGTCTCAAAACTAGTCCATGGAGAATATTACTACTCATATTTACAAAGCAGAAAATTTCTTCATTATTATTTATTTTCTACCTCTGAACCAATTTTCAACCTTTTTTTTTTTTAAACTCTCTCTCTCTATCTTATGTAATATGATATCAGTTAATTCTTGAAATCAAGATAAAATCCACAGAAGTAAGGTCATATGAAAGGAAACAAATGAGAAATACAGAATCTGGTTTTATTAATGTAGAACAGTATCATATCAGTATGTTCTTTCTATGGTGAATTAATCTGTAGGTCCAACATGCCTTATTTTGCTGATGTTTATTAAAGTAGGGCCTGAACATGGCCTACTAGTTAGCATTTCATACTAGAAGGATCCAAGGCTATTGGTTTCAAGCAAAGGCATTCCACTTTCAGGTGCATGTAAATTAAAAGTTACAGTCGATCACATTATTTGGTTAATTGTAGCTGCTGCTTCTGGTGGATACTACTACCTGATGACCTTCCCTCTGGTATGTAATTCAAAATTACGAAAGGCTGTGCCTGGATCTTAGGAGTCTTTGACCTAGCCATTTAGCTCATTGTGCATATAAAGTGTTGTTTAGATGAACAAACATTTTAATATTGTCTTACCCTTTCTACAGAGTACGACCATGAAAGAAAGTGTCACGAGACTACTGATAACCTTGTAGTATTTAGGAGTATGTAACATTAGGTATTATTATTATTACTTTGCAGAGCAGTGTGCCACTTTTGTCATAATATGTGTCAAAAATTTCATTAATGGCACCTTAAAATCCAGTGTTACATGTAGGCATCATTTTATGTACAAGATGAAAATTAGCCCTCACTAGATAAAGGAATGGGGCTGGCTAGATATATTAAGCTTAGCTCTATATTTTAACATGCTATAGATTATTATATAAAGGCCATGGGCACCCATAGAAATTTTTTTTGGGGGGAGGGGCAAAATGTATGTAGGGGATCAGCTTTTACAGTGTAAGTCAACAGATTAAAAAAATTTGTTATTTGTGCTTAAATGCAAACAAAAAATTTACAGTTTTATTAAAAATTACTAAAAATAGTTATTTTTAACTACAGTGTTAAGTTTACATCTTAATACATGCAATTTTTTGTGAAAAATAAGGGGGGCAACTGCCCCTTCCTGGGAGAACCCATGATAAAGTGAAACTTAAGAAAATTACAAGCATGCCTAAAATATTTTTGAAATTTCTTCAATATGTGGCTATTATGTCTACTTGTTAATATGTTGAGGCTTACAAGTTAATTGACATAGTTCAAGAGTCATGTCAAACTTAGTCCATAACAATCAATGAAGAAAAACTTGAGACATTGTAACTGAGGTAAAGCATCTGCCCAGCAAGTAGAGTTGTAGTTGTAATTCCCACCTGATATTAATTCTCACTTATTGAGAAAGTTGTAATGTACAGATAATAAGGGACAATTTAGTCTTTCAAGGCTGTTTCTACTCACAACAACTCATAAAAAAAAACTAAAAATTTAAATCCACTCTTTATTTTTTAAGAAATCATTGATTCCTCTCTTAAGCTCTACTACTGCTTACAGTAACTCATTCCACAAATCTATTGCTATATTATAAAAATATCTGTTCCAGCTGAGGTTTAACTTGTCTATTCCAAATCTTATGTCCTCTTGTCCTATGATTTTCAGAATATAGTACAAAGAAATCCGAGACCTTCAACCTATTGATCCTTGGACAAACTTATAAATTTCAGTAAGATTAACTTATCCTTTGTTTCAAGAGAAAGTAAGGAATCATCCTAGTAGCTCTTGTATAAAACATTTCTAATAAGTTGATATCCTTCCTGAGATGAAGAGACCAAAAGTTTTCACACAATTCCAATTGATAGCTGATTAAAGATTTTTATAGAAAGATAAATACCTCTTTTTCATTTTTAATTAGTATATCCATAAGTACACCTTAAAATTCTGTTAGTTTTACAACTAACAACAGAGCATTACTTCGATGGCTTGAGTAAGTTATCCACCACTATGCCAAGGTCCTTTTCTTCAGTCATGTTAACGAATGGTTTCCCACCCAGAAAGTGTGATACAATTATGATAATCCTAATGCATTACCTTACAATTATTCTAATTAAAGGCCATTTTCCAAATATTTATCCAACTTGCTAATTGATTTATGTCCTTTTGAATGTCTCAAAGAGTTTAATGCCATCAACAAACTTTATTAATTATACCTCTATTAATATCATTAATGTGAATTTTATTGCTTTTTCCCATCCAAACACAAGCCTTTATTTTTCTCCAACTCCTACCAGTGTGATTTTATCAACAAATCTTTTGTGTGGCACCTTATCAAAAAATTTTGAAAACCAAAATACACCAGTTCCACTCACTTTCAATTACTTATATAGCAGGTAACATCCTCAAAAAAGATAAAAGATCAGTAAAGGAAGATTAACCTTTATTAAATCCATTTGGCTTTCATTTCTGGCATTATAACTCATTAAATTTTCTCAAGCTTATTTTATCTGACTACCATTTTTCACTATAAAAAAGTAAAAGATTAAAACTTACAATTTCCAGGGTAACTTTTACCACCTTCTTTAAAAATAGGTGTAACATTAACAATTCTCTAATTATCAAGTATTTGTCCACTGTCTATATTAACTTATCTTTAACCTATAAAATTGAATGGTGTGCTAATTTTACAGTTACCTTAGTTAGTGTTAAACCACTTAAAATTGGCTTGAGAAAAGTCTGTCTAATTACCAATAAAAGGAAAACTGATATATGTTATGCTTAAAACATAGTACCGTAGATTAGTGCATTTAAAAATATGACTTGTAAGCAGAGTTATGGGTGTGAACCTTGCCTCAACACAATTTTCACTTCTTGATAAGATAAAAATAAGTAGAATGTATGTAAAGAAGAACCAGGATGTCAATATTTACACTGTATAGAGTATTGATATTAATAGCATTCATGGTGTTAGGAAAACATGCAGGTTCAAGAAATTAGTTTAACACAAAAATATGATACCTTTTAGCCTGAGCACTTTGGTTATAGGGTTTTGTATTTTTGTGATATTAACAATGCATGTATATTTATACACTTTTTTTTTATACAGGTAGTGAAACCTCATTTACCTCGAATAAAATTCAGAAAAGGAGGAAGGCCAGATAGTTGTGGTGAGTACTAAATATAAATGTTCTAGGATGCTGATAGACTTGTTTTATTGGAGCTATAATATGGCTTACACTTGGAGTATTGTAATACATTCTGAAAAGTCCAGTTCAAAAGTACAAATGACATTTTTTCAAATGTGTCAGATGACTAGAGATATTAAATGAATAATCTTAGCTATTTTTATTAATGAATTAGAAATTTTGGGGATGACTACTCCAAAGGTCAGGAGCTACTTAAGCAATGCATTGTGAATGAGGTGAAAATACTATATACAACAAAAAAAGTGCATGATTACATACTAGTCGATGCCCCAGCCATTTAAAAAAGTATGAAAAACCTTTGCATTTAAATCATGTAAAATTAAATCCACTTAACCTGGTGGAGAGGGGAGGAGATATTCTATCCTCTTTTAAGTTTACTAGCAAATATTTCGTGGTATTCCAGCAACATCAGGGTATTTTCAAATGCTGGTGATATTGTCACAGTGGAGATGATGTAAAACACAAACGTTTGTACAAACTAATTATTTTGAAAAAAAAAAAAATCTTCAGTACAAAAGAGATTACTTGGGATCAGTGGCCATTTGTATGACTGTATGGTTATATCTAATTTACCCTGAAACCTTATTATAATGTTAATACCAAGTATTGTTCAATTTTTTGTGGTGCTAAAAAACATATTTTCGCAAATAGTTCATGTTATTGTGTTATAAACATTTTTTTGTTTTAAATAGATTTATTGCTCAAAATGTATCGACATTCTTTTGTAGATAATATACATATCATATGTTAGTATATTGTAGTATGTATCATAAGAGAAGTGACAATAACAACTCTTAAGATACAATCTATATCTCTGTCAACTTAGAATTTTTAATGAGCATGTTATTTAAAGACTGTTAGTAAACTTTTACTTAAAAGATGTACTTTTTTATTTAAAATATAATTAATTGACATTTTTTAATTGTTTCTGTTGATTTTGAGTAAAGTATAGGTTTTTTATAAGCTGTATTGACACGGAGTCGATTTTTTCTTTCATATAACATTTTGAGTTTATTTCATTAAACTTCCTTATTTATTTTGTGAGAATATTAATTTTTGAGGGTTGTAATGTGTTTATAAAATTAGATAGCATACTAATATTGTAACTTTAACATTGAAAAGCAATTAATATTTATAACTTTTGTATTTGTTGTAAGAGTGTACTATGATATTGGAAGAATTTTATAAACAAGAATAGGCAATGGTAAGCACTCAAACAACTGTATCTTTTTTAAATATATTTTCATGCTTTCTCAGAATCCATTGTTATTTATCATTCTTCATAAGTTTAATATTGCCAGAAGCAACCATGGGGATTAAATTTGTTTCTGTTAAGTTAGTGAACGTAATCATATCCAAACAAGAGGGAATCCTCAATACCTGTGGCTGTAATTAGATCTCAAATTGGTCAAGAGATGGAGCTATGAGCTAAAAGTTTGGACTTGAAAAAACTCGGATCTGTTCTATGAGCCGATGTGCCGTGGCTAAAACCTTTTTGCTTTGTGTTCTAGACCCTAAAGTCATGTTCTTAAAATGAGTATTACTCTTCTAAGTAAAGACATTTTACGTTGCAAAGCCTTTGGTTTTAAACTGTTAATAAATCTTGATCAGAAGACTGGCTAGGTACTTGTACTTAACTTTCAATTATCTATTTATTCAAATAACACTATCAGTTAAAGTAATATAGTAGCAATCATAATGGTACATTTTGAATTAACATTGTTAGAGAATATATCAAAATTGTACTTTAGAGTAATATTACTCTTTACCATTTGTCTTGGATCTTACACGTATGTAGATTACAATTTAATGTATTTACACGTGATTACATATCCACATGTAACTAGCTTGTCGTATGCACATTAGAACTGTAAAATATAGAATAGTTTTCTATACCAATCATGTTTCTAGTTTCTGGTCTTGCCACAGAACAGAATCCAACATTAGCGAAAAGTTCATCTCAGCCCAGTTCTATTCGACCATCTACTTTATCTGTTCCGGGTACAGGGATTGAAGAATGTGAACTTCCACAAAGATATGCAAGACAACAAATTTCACAGCTAGAATTGGAATATATAGAGGTATTTATAATTATCAGCACAACACAAACTGACTTACTGCTACTACAGTTATTATTTACTGTATGTAAAATCAGCACAACACAAACTGACTTACTACTACTACAGTTATTATTTATTGTATTTAAAATCAGCACCACACAAACTGACTTACTGCTACTATAGTTATTATTTACTGTATTTAAAATCAGCACAACACAAACTGACTTACTACTACTACAGTTATTATTTACTGTATGTGAAATCAGCACAACACAAACTGACTTACTGCTACAACAGTTACTATTTACTGTATGTAAAATTAGCACAACACAAAATGACTTACTGCTACTACAGTTATTATTTACTGTATTTAAAATCAGCACAACACAAACTGACTTACTGCTACTACAGTTATTATTTACTGTATGTAAAATCAGCACAACGCAAACTGACTTATTGCTACTTCAGTTATTTGCTGTATGTAAAGTCAGCACTACACAAACTGACTTACTGCTACTACAGTTATTATTTACTGTATGTAAAATATCACTATCAGGGGACGGATTCTTTTGTAATTTTTATAGGATAATTCCAGAATAGTCAGAATTGGTAAAATTTGTCTTCAAACAGGCGTGATATTTGTGATACAGATCATGTAAATTTCAATTGTAACTTTCAAATCCCCAAATAATTTTGAATAAAATGTAAAAATAATCTTCAAGGATTTACTTTGCAAGTAGAAGAAACACAAAATTGAATTGATGTGCTTGAAAAATGATCAAAATTGTTTTAATTAATGTTGAGAAAAGGAATGAAGTAAAGTGAAAATGTAAAGCAGTTTAGAAAAAAGAGAAATTTGAAAGCCATCACATTTATCTATGCAAATTATGTTAAGTTAATTAGAAATAAAAAACAGAAATTAGGAAAACAAGACAGTTTTACATTTCACAAATACATCATTTATTCACGGCCATTGTTCACCAGTAAAGGCCTCATCAGGCACAGATTGAAATGTTTTGTGACAGGATTTATATATATATATGTTTAAACAAGTACTGATGGTTTCAACTATCAATTATAGAAAAAACATATTGTAATAGTAAATTTTAAGGATTTTTTTTTCCAGAAGGCCTAATATGTTACTGAAAAGACTTTCTAGTTGAAAAATGTTATGTAGATCTATTTTTAATCAAGGAAGTTTAATTGTGTTGAATACTTCCTATTTAAATTAAAATTGTAGTTAATCAAAGCAAATAAATATCAAAGAGAAAATATGAGAGAAATTTGATTAAGGGTAAAGCATTTATTTATGACATGTAAAAAACATTGTTTGCATATCAAACATTTTTCTCTTATTGATAAAGGCAGTAAAATAGTGTTATGTATGTTTTTAAGAGTATTAGTAACACAAGGTGAAGTGGGCGATACTAGAAATGTACGGTATGGCCAGGTGGTTAGGGCACTCGACTCGCAATCTGAGGGTCGTGGGTTCGAATCCCACCAAACATGATCGCCCTCTTAGCTGTGGGGGCATTACAATGTGGCAGTCAATACCACTATTCATTGGTAAAAGAGTAGCCCAAGAGTTGGTGGTGGGTGGTGATGACTATGTGCCATCCCTCTAGTCTTACACTGCTAAATTAGGGATGGCTAGTGCAGATATCCCTCTTGTAGCTTTGCGTGAAATTCAAAACTAAACAAACAAAACTAGAAATGTAGCTATAAAGGAACTGTCAAAAACAATATATAGACATTACAGATATGATAACAACAACAAAGGAAAAGAAAAACTTTCAGTATAAAACATAAATGGCCTGAAATAAAAGAATTAAGTTATCTCTTCCTTAAAAACTAAGAATAAATTAATAAGGAGACTTTAAGCAAGTAATCCATAATGCTAAACACTTTATAAACAAATGTGACTTAGTATAAAATGCATTTTGTTTCCTTACTGTGTTAATTCCCTTTTATTTTTAATTACAGTTCTATTGTTAAATGAAGTTAAATATTAACCTATCTATTTTCATTTTTTAAGCAACAAATTTGTTTTCTTTTTAGAGAGGAGGTCCAGAATAGCCCAAGTTTATCCTAAGAAGAAGTGTGTAAATAAATGTAATGAGAGGGTGCTTTAGAAAATTTAGAAGAAAGAAAGGCTTTTTAGATTTTATGATCTTTTACAGAGGATGAGTGTAGATAAACTCATTTTACCACTGTGTTGACTTTTTTTTTACCTTGTCTTTAGTTTCAAAAGTAATTTAAATTATCGTTCACTTGCTTACTTTAAAAAGTTGATAGAAGCCATGAAAGGTGCCTATGCTGTGCTTTTTAAGTTAATATTATGAATCACACTTAAGTAAGTATGAAAGTTTTACAGTAAATCAATATTTAAAAACCATTTACATTTTCACAAGGAAATAGACATGGCTTATCATGGAGATATTTAAAATGGATGATAAAAAAAGATTTATATGGTTGAAATGTAGAAGTTAAAGTATAAACAAATAGACCACTGGTGTTAATGTACAAATGTAGGATTGGATAAAAAGAGATTAATAAAGAGTTAACATTATTATTACTATATAGTGCTGTATTTTTGTCTATACATAAAAATACATTGATATTTAACAATATAAATTCATAAAATAAAAAAAGCCTTTATTTATATGTTACAACTAATGCAAACAGGCTATGTACGTAATTACAACTAGTTGTGTATCATTGGTACCCTGTGTTTCATAAGAAAAAACTGGCAGATATGAGGAGAGACAAACGGTTAAATCAAATGTAATGAATATTTTCCAACATGCTGATAAATTTAGTGATTTCTTATCATAAGCCACGATGAAGATATTGGAGAAACCTAACTTAGGTGGAAACTTCATGGATTCATGAACGTAATAAACTTTTGTAGAATAAATAACATTATAACCAATGATAACTTTGGAACTCAAGATATTGGAGAAACCTAACTTAGGTGGAAACTTCATGGATTCATGAACGTAATAAACTTTTGTAGAATAAATAACATTATAACCAATGATAACTTTGGAACTCAAGATATTGGAGAAACCTAACTTAGGTGGAAACTTCATG